TAAGCCATAGATTAAAAGGTATAAAGGTTAAAAGTTGATGAAGCTGAGAAGGAGGCTTCCTAACTTTTTAATTTTTTTGGAGGTATAAATTACATACCATGCAATTCACCCATTTAATGTGTGCAATTCAATATTTTTTAGTATATTTACAGAATTATGCAACCAACACCACATTCAAATGTTAAACATTTTTGCCACCTTAAAAAGAAACCCTGTATCCATCAGAAGCCATTTCTCATTTTCCCCCATCTGTCCCCACTTCTGCTTTACCTCACTAAGGAGCTACTAACCTACTTTGTATATCTTCCGGATATTTCATGTAAATGGAATCATACAATATGTGGCCTTCTGTGTCTGGCCACTTAGCATCATGCTTTCAAGGGTCATCCATACTGAGCATGAATCTTTTCTATTTTCTTCAGTATATGCCTAGGAATAGAATTACGAAGTCTTATGGGTATTGTATATTTAACCATTTAAGAAACCAACAGCCTGTTTTCCATGGCAGTGGCACTTTGTCACATTCCCACCAGCAGTGTCTGGTTGGGGAGGGGGTCCTGGTTTCTTCACACCCCGTCAGCACTCGTGATCTGTTGGATGGCAACTGTGGGTGTGAAGGGCATCTCTGGGTATGGTTGTGACTTCCATTTCTCTCATGGCTGAGGCAGAGCATCTTTTCATGTGCTTATTGGCCATTTCTATATTGTCTTTGTTAAAATGCCTATTCAGATCCTTTGCTCATTTTTAAATTGGATTATTTGTCAGTTTTTTTCATTGAGTTGTCAGTGTCCTTTACATATTCTAACTACAAGTCGCTTCTCAGATATGTAACCTTCAAATATTTTTTCCATTCTGTGGTTCATCATTGATAGTATCCATTTGTCTATTCTTTCTTTTGTTGCTTGTGCTTTTTGCTTGTTGTTCGTTCGTTTGTTTTGAAACAGGGTCTGTCAGACCCTATGGCTCACAAAGACACCTGATAGGCTCACAGAGGAGCTGGCTACCAAATTCTGTCACTCAGGCTGGAGTGCAGTGGCCCCATTTTGGCTTACTGAAACCTCTGCCTCTGGGGTCAAGCAATCCTCCCACCTCAGTATCCTGAGTAACTGAGATTACAGGTGCATGCCACCGTGCCCCATGCCTAGCTAATTTTTGTATTTTTTGTAGAAATAGGATCTCACTATGTTGTCCAGGCTGGTCTTGAATTCCTGGGCTCAAGCGATCTGCCCACCCCAGCCTCCTAAGGTTATGGATGTATAGGTGTGAGCCATCACACCCAGCCTGCTTGTGCTTTGGAAATATAAGGAGGCTTTGCCTAACTCGAAGTCACAAAGATTTAATCCTATATTTTCTTCTAAGAGTTGTACAATTTTAGCCATTATATTTAGATCTGTGCTTTCTTTTAATTTTTGTGTATGATGTGAAGAATGGGTTCTTAACACTTCTGAAGCTGCAATAATTGATGTTTGGTGGCAGCACATGAAGAAAGAGTGAAGAACGTAGATTTATTGTCTTTCTCAGTTTGGACTACATTTTCCAAGAGGCCGTCCTCAACTCTTGAGTTCTTTCCATCTTCCCTAAATATTTTTGGCTGTTGAATATTAAAGTTGCTATGACTTTCAACAGATCTTAATTCATTGCTTACATGTAATGCACAAGGAATTGTTTAGAGTGGTAACCCCTACATATCCATGATAAACTATTTGATTAGTTATATTTCACATTACACGAAATAATCTGTACTGCCTTAAGTTGTGTTTTACAGGCGAGCAAGCTGTTTTGTATAACAGTGATTATAATAATACTGGAGGGAAAACCTAACTCAGTGTCATTGCTATTTGTTCCCTGAGTCCTTATCTATTAAATTTGGAGCCAATAAAGTAAGGAACATGCTGAGGCAAACTTCTAGGAAAAAAAATATCTTTGCCCTTGCAGGAGTATCTAGTTTTGATGCAGTTGAGGAACACAGACCTGGCACAAGCTTTGCCCATTACAGAGAGACTCTGTGGCCTCAACTGGTTTCTCAAGTCTCTAGGAAGTTTGAACTTTAGCTGGAGTTTGACTCAAAGGCTTGTGGATACTCTTGTTCTGAGATGTTCTGGGCAGGTACTTCAAAATAGATTTCTCTTAATTCCCCTTTTGGTCAGTTGTGTCAGAGGGTTCAGGCAACCAAGCTTGAGTCCTCACTTATTTTACCAAACCAACCATGAAAGTTGATCAATTCCTAACAGCTCTGTCACCAGTTCTCACTATACCTTCCTACCCAGATCAAGTCTGCAGTCCAGGGTCACCCCTTCACCCCTGTCTTTTCTGTAGCCCCAAAGCCTAATCGAGAGGAAGTATTCACTAAGTCTTTGTTGATGATCTTTTTTCCACCATATTTACACAACTTCGCAATGGTATAAATAGGATTCACTCCTCCCTCTCAGGGTAGAAATTCTAATAAGAGAATAATCCATGGAAGTTGGGTGCAGTGGTTCATGCCTGTAATCCCAGCACTTTGGGAGGCCAAGGCCGGCGGATCACCTGAGGTCAGGAGTTCGAGATCAGCCTGACCAACCTGGAGAAACCCCGTCTCTACTAAAAATACAAAATTAGCTGGTCATGGTGGCATATACCTGTAATCCCAGCTACTTGGGACACTGAGGCAGGAGAATTGCTTGAATCCAGAAGGCAGAGGTTGCAGTGAGCCAAGATCATGCCATTGCACTCCAACCTGGGCAACAAGAGTGAATCTCTGTCTCAAAAAAAAAAAAAAAAAAAGAATAGTCTGTGGTAAAGAAGGCAGCCTTTCTCCAGGGGCACAGCCTTGCAGGTGTGGAGGTGACTGGGTTAGCACTTCTCCGAACAGTGGGTAAGAGGTGAGATGAGGTAGGGAATTATCTCACCAGGGTTCAATTCTTGGTTTTGGTGCAGATCTTTCTGAAGGACATTGGGGTCCACACCGTGGAATTCTTTCTCATCTCCAGTCAGAAATCTGTCACTTCAGTATTCCCCTCTTGTATCCTACCCTCTGATCTAGTCTTCCCGTTACCCTCGGGCCCGTGGCCTCACTCCCAATACACAGGTCTATGACCTTCCCCCCTTTGAGTTTTCTTGCTTCCCCATCAATCTCACTTCTCTCTGGGGCTCCCTTTATCCTCTACCCGATTTACATCCCACAAATGGCGTTATTCCCTCTGGTCACCACTGCTCTGGCCAAACCTTCTCTCTGCTGACTGCATCTATTGCTGTGAGCTGATTGCTCTCTAGTTTCTCCATCTCCTGAGGTGTGCTTCACGCCACTGCTAGAAGAGCTGCCATGCATGTGCCTGGGTGAGGTGAAGTGGGGAGTGGGCTTGAAATCCAGCCCTCATTCCACTCATCATTTTGGGCTTGGCAGAGCTATGTCTGCCTAGAGAGAATACCTTCCTCTAATTGGCATGAAGACACCCTATGGGCTCACAGAGGAGGTGGCTACCAAACTGACCTTTCTAAAATAACTGACCATCTCATTCCTCTGTATAATACCTTTTAGTGGGTCCTGTCAGCTAAATGGCAAACTCCTTAGCATGGAATGCAAGCAAACCCTCTAAGACCTAGCCTGCTTGTCCCACCAGCATTTTAATGAGGGTGATCATATGATTTATTGTCCAAAGTATTCCTTTCAGAATACTTCTGAAAAGAAGGAAAAGCTATTACTGATTATGACAGGGCAATCCACTACAGTGCCTGGGCACTTATTTGTAACCTACCATTTCACACCTTGCATTCATTCACTGTGGTAGTACCAACCCACTGGTAGTTTTCTATGTATACCTTGTTATTTCCAGATTAAGAGGTTTTGACAGAGTTATTTTGACAACCTTGTTGCGAATCTGAGGACATTTTGATTCCTTTTTTTCTGATTAAACATTAAAAGATGAAATCAACACATCCTCAAGTCAAAATCCCAAGTCCAAAATGATCATAGCCTAAACAATGATATTAAAACATCTAATTTACATTATTCTATGCTCTGGTTACTTGACTGTGGTATTAATACTTTATTGCTTAGAACTTCTATTCCCTTTTCCCCATTTTCCTACCTTTCCTGGCTTATTTCCACTTATTGTTCAAGATATCTCAAGGACTTTTTCCTCCAATTACCTTTCCCTGATATTTCCTGACTGGGCTCAGTGCCCATCGTCTTGTTCCCACAGCAACCTGTATATAATTTTTATTATACCAAAAAAAAAAGAAATTGTGTTGAAGTCATCTGTTTGGGCCTGCCTTGCTTACAAGACTATTAGGTCCTCAAGGCAGGAACCCTGTCATATTAATTGTTTTATCCTCAGTGCCCAGCATAGCACTTCACAAATAACAGAATCTTAATAAATATTCCTTTACATAGACTAATTTGATCTCCTTGTAATATGAAGTGAAACATGCCTGCCCCTTATTTCCTGGAGAATTTTTTAGGGTACTAGTGATGATTTATACCTACTTGGAGCCTTTAGGACCTTGACTTTTGGCATGTTAAAGTTGTAAAGCCTTTTTTTTTTATACCATAGAATCATATAAAAAGAAAATACACATGCATAATATTCACATGTTTTGCTGAAAGTGTGAACAGTGATGTGTTAAACTTTAGTTTTTCCATGCCATAAAGATACGAGGGTATAGAAGAGTAATTCTTGTTTAATGCAATGAATGATCATACAATCCATTAAATAATAATACTCCATTCTTGCCTTATTTTCTTTCTTTTTTCTTTCTTTTTTTGAGATGGAGTCTTGCTCTGTTGCCAGGCTGGCGTACAGTGGCGTGATCTTGGCTCACTGCAAACTCCGCCTCCTGGGATCAAGCGATTCTCCTGCCTCAGCCTCCCGAGTTGCTGGGACTACTGGTGTGCACCACCACGCCGGACTAATTTTTGTATTTTTAGTAGAGACAGGGTTTCACCATGTTGGCCAGGATGGTCTTGATCTCTTGACCTCGTGATCCGCCCGCCTCAGTCTCCCAAAGTGCTGATATTGCAGGCATGAGCCACTGTGCTAGGCCTCTTGCCTTATTTTCTAAGCTCTCTGGATTTGGCATTTTGAGTGAAGGTGATCAATGTTATCCTAATGTTACATGTTTGTTTTACTAGCCTAATGTCTTCTGTTTCCATTTCTCTAGAATGTTTTGGACGTTTAAAGAATGGTTCTGGTTGGAAAGATTCTGGCTTCCTCCAACAATAAAGTGGTCAGATCTTGAGGATCATGATGGACTCATCTATGTAAAACCTTCTCATTTATACATGACAATTCCATATGCTTTTCTCTTGCTGATTATCAGACGTGTATTTGAAAAGTAAGTAGTACTTTAGTCTTTCCTTCTCATTCCCCCTCTTTGCTCTAACACTAGAATAATACAGTCTTAGGCTTAGTGAGATCCTTAAAGAATCTATTGTTCAGAGGTTGTCACTAATGGGCCACAGATTCTTGGGATGAATTAATGTAATCAGATGCACTCCAAATGTTATTTAAAGGCTGAACAACAAAAAATTAGAAACATGGATCCCATTGAGTGCTTTAGTTTTATAACGAAGAAAATCAAGATCAAGAGAGGTTGCAGACCACAGAGCTTATTTGACAATATGGGAAGCCAGTTCATCTTCTACTCTTCCATGGTGTCCAACAATGCATATGCATTCCCGGAAAGGTTGGGCTAGAAGAGTCTATGACTCAGGAGGCATTATCATTCTCAAATGCCTATAAAATAACAAAAATGGCTCATTAAAGACTAAACCAAATATTGCTATATGGTACAGTTTATTTTAAAGGTTTATTTAAAGGTTTAATAGCTGCCCTTCATTCTAAAGTGCAAGGAAATCAAAGAGAAAAACTATCAGTTTTCTTTCTCAGAAAAAGTAAACTTCTTTTTTTCTTGATTTAATTTAAATGGATATTATTTCCAGCCTTTTTATTAAAATTGTACTAGTGTTATGATAACAGTAGATAAATGTTCATCTATAATCTCTGTAGTTGACTCTATTTCAAAAAGCTGTTATTAGCACATTAATTCATTTGGAGCAAAGAGAATATTCAAATGTCAAGAGTTGGAAAAACTTGAGACAAAATCTGATAGAGATCGTTTTGCCAAGACTAACTGTAATGCAGATCATATGTTTATAACCATTTGCAGGGTTCTTATCTTGAGAGCTAGTTTGACCAACTCTGTTTAATGAACTCTTGAAAAAGTTTTTGTATAACAACAGCTTCACTGGGGCCAACAGTGTGCTATTCCTACTGGGAGGAAGAGAAAGCCCCTGGATACCACTAAACCCTGGCTGAGAACATTTGAAAATGTACTTCTTTTCTGGCAGTTAATTCTACTTTTTACTCACATATTTGGACGTGTCAAGAATGCATAAATAAAGTAGAACTTCAAAATTAGCAAATTACTATCCTGAAATACTAGCTGTTCTTGCATTGTTTCCGGTGATCTGTGAATTTGGCATCCAGGTCTATTACTTATTTCCATTGCAGATTTCCTACTTTTTGGTGGACAGCTCCATTTTTCACAGTTTGGCCAGGACTGTGAGCCAGAAAAATCTTTAGGTTGCCAAAGCAGCACAGCTGTGGAGGACCAGCTTGTTACGTCCCTGTCTTGGCCTCTCCAACAATAATCAGGAAGGAATCCAACCCTCTCTTAATTCCTAGGACCATTGTTACTTCTCAAGGGATTAACTGTAGTCTATATTCTCTATTCTATCTCCTTATAACTTCAGTTCCCAATAACTCACTCTCAGCTTTTTCCATTGTGGTGCTACAGAAAACTATGTGTTGCTTCACTAATGCCATATCTCTGTTAATGCCATAGAAGGAAGGAAAATTTAACTTTTTGAAGTATAAGTTTATATTTTTTTCCAGAGCTTTTATATCATTAGTGGGAGATTGAACCACTTATATCATAAATAAAATATCACTTATACCTTACATTTGAATAGGAGCTTATAGTTTAAGAGCTACATAAAATCACAAATGGTGTGGTCTTAGTCTGCATGTGTGGAAATGAGAGGTAAATGACCTGGCCAAGGTCACACAGTTAACACGGGACTTGAACTCCTGAGCTCAGATTTAGGGTTGTTGGTTTTTTATTTTCTGACTGTTTCAGTAATTCTTAGACTTTCACAGTGAAAGACTCCTGATGGCAGAAGAGAGTACACAAATGTCTCTTGGGAATACAGAAAGCAAGCTTAAAGAGATAATAGCAAACACAAAAATTTCTGAACTATTTTAAAAATTCATGTAAATATAACCATATGTTTCAGCATATCCTTATAGATTTAACACAAGAAAGCATCTTTCTTTTGTCCTAGCCTGTATTTGTGCTACATCTTCTCATTCTATGAAGTGACCAAGATTTGTGATTTGACTGGTTCATTATTGTTCTTTAGAACTAGCCAAGAACTATTTAAGATCAGAAATTAATGTTTCTTCCTAGAAAATCAAGAAGAGAGAGACAGACAGATGAGAAACAAAGAAGCAGATAATTTGGAAGTAACTGACATTTACTTTGTATTTAAGATTTTCTTTCCTTGAAAGTTTTAGTTTGTGGCTTATGTTTTGTTTTTTGTTTTTTGTGTGTGTGGCTAATGTTTCGATTTTTATTTTGTTCAGACTACTAGTTTCTAATTAGTTTATCTTGTATGCATTCTTTTATGTGTCTGAAGTATGATTTGAAGGAGACCTAAGCTGCTCAAATATCAACACTTGTGTAATAAACACATTATCTCAGATTAAATCATGGTCCCAGAAGAGTTCAAGGCAGGGGTGCAGGTGGTAGAATCAGAAGGTCACATTTTTATTATTGTTGTTACTTAAAAATACACAAATATATTCCCAACCCTAGCAATATAAGGTCATGATGGGGCAGTATGTCCATCATTCTTTGAAGGAAGGTAGGGTAGCTGGAGTAACCTATCTGTAGCGACTTACATAAATTGAAGAAGTATTGTTACTAACTGTCCCAAATGGAAATAGTCTTAAAACATACACATTAGACTTTTTCATCTGAGATCTACTTTGCTCCCAATATTTTGTTCTCACATAAAAAACAAACAAACAAACAAAAAACTTCTGAAAAATTCTGCTCACAGAACCTCTGAATCCTTAGGAACTGGGAATCAATCTTATGTCAATAGGCTATTTTATCTATTTAGGAGATGTATTTAAATGTAACATGCCTACTATCTGCCTAGGGATACATTCCTTTTATTCTATTAAAAATATTAAAAATAAAGGGAGATCTGGGATGTCTAGGCTTTTGGCTCCCAGGTAACTGATGGGATGCCAGACAAAGAGGGGGTTGTCTGGGTGTCTGCATGGGTTTGTCTGAAGGCTTAATTCTGCAATAGTAGCAAACCTAAGGGACTCATTCCCTGGTAATTAACCTAACTTTGATCCATTTACGTGGGAGCAGAAGTTCATTCTTTTTTCTTCCTCTCAGACTTTTTTTTTTTTCTATTCCATATCAATAAAATGAAAATTTAGGCAAGCTAGCTGGCAAGCTAATCTCTAAGTTTCTTCCTAGGGCTAAGACTTACAATTTTCCTTCTCTCTTCAGTTCCATTTATCAAATATTTACTGTGCTTCTTTCTTCTCTCCTTTTTCAAAATAGATTTTTAATTAAGTGACTGTATTCATCTACACTTTATTAGGTAAAGTGATTGATTTCCTAGATTTATTTGAAACAGAAGGATAGCACTCAATTAGACGACTATATTTACATCTATACTCTGTTCTGTTAAAAATGTTATTTTCTGGCCAGGCATGGTGGGTTGCGATGTAATCCCAGCACTTTGGGAGGCTGAGGCAGGTGGATCACGAGGTCAGGAAATCGAGACCATCCTGGCTAACATAGTGAAACCCCGTCTGTAATAAAAATACAAAAAAATTAGCTGGATGTGGTGGTGAGTGCCTGTAGTCCCAGGTATTCATGAGGCTGAGGCAGGAGAATCGCTTGAACCCAGGAGGCAGAGGTTGCAGTGAGCCGAGATCACACCACTGCACTCCAGCCTGGCGACAGAGTGAGACTCCATCTCAAAAAAAAAAAAAAAAAAAAAAAAGAAAGTTTTTTTTTTTTTTCTGTGTGTAAGAGGTAGGGATCCGGTAAAACAAAAATCATTATGTCTGTCTTTGAAATTAATGAAGAGGACTGTAGTTCTCTTTCTTGTTTAAATTAATGATTTTAACAGGTATTTATTCCTCATATCAGCAAGGATACTATGAATGTATATATTTATCTACGTGCATACTTATCCACATGCTGTTTCTCACATGACCCTCTAGAGAGGAATGTTATGCTTCATTTGGCTTTGAGATTAGTTTTGTTCCCTTACTGTATAAATCTTTGGTTTAATTCTATTTTGCTTTCCCCTCCTAATTTCTTCATTTCTAACGTTTGAGGAGATAGCACTGAGTGAATATATTGAAAACACTACCCTATGAAACTATTTCCAGTTTGTGTTGTTCTAATAGTGAAAAAAATGGATGTTTTCTCCACTAAAATTTTCCAGCTATTTATTCCAGTTGGATAAATGAACTAATTCAATTATTTATCCAAAACCCTGTCGTGTATATATATATATATCAGAATATATATATATGAGAATATATATATTCTTTCTTTCTCTATATATATTTATGTACACACATATATATGCTCTCTTTCTATATATATATGTATATATATATATGTCTATATAAGAGCAATCTTGAGTGATTGATGACTTTTTCATTAATTCCCTTTTTTCCCCATGCATTACTCCCATTCCCCTCTCTGCTGTGTTCTGTGTATTTGGTGATCCTTTATTTGTATGACCCATTAAAACGTGTGCTTCATGTGCCGGTATCACTTGTTGACATAAATGGTATTGCGCTAAGACCTTTTCTTTCTTCTTTTTTAAAATTTAGCACTATGTTTTATGATCTCTCCACATTGCTCTGTGTACATCCGGTGCATAACTCACTTATTTTTATGTGTCTCTGAAATTTAGGGACCATTTTCACGAGAACTTAATTCATCTGGAAGTTGGACTGGCATACATTTAATCAGATTATCTTAAGAGAGTTTTTATTCAACTTCCATCGATATAAAAATGAATTTAAGAACTAAATGATCATTCATAAGTAAAATTTTCAGCATTTAATTAAACGCAAAAATTATCCTTCAGTAAGTCCTAGAATTGACTGACCTGGCAGAAGATAGTGCCTTTGTCAGAACTGAAGGAAGAATAAGGAAATCTCTTTGTTTTAAAAATATCTGCTTTATTGAGGTTTGGTTTACATACAATAAAATTCATCCAA